CAGCTCCAGCGCAGGCTTTGGGACTGGGATGGAGAAAAGAGTGGCAGCCTTTAGTGAGGAGCAGCCACAAACTGGTTTGTTCTCACTTTAATTTGGCCCAAATTCTCAAGAATTTGCTCAGAATAGTGGTTTTTGATTTTAAAATTCTGATTCTAGAGGTTGAATCCAGGGCCTCATGCATGCTGGGCGAGTGTTCTACCACTGGGATAAATCCCCAGGCTTTTTAAAGTTTATTTTTAAAACAAAGTCTTGCTAAACTGCCCAAGCTGGGCTTGAACTTGAGATCCTCCTGCCACAGCCCCTTGAATAGCTGGGATCATAGGCATGTGACACCTTATCTGGCTAGGACAGTGATGCTTAAATTTGAGTAGACATCAGAATCTCCTAGAGGGCTTGTTGAAACATAGATTTTTGCCCATCCCTCAGAGTTTCTGATTCAGCAGGTCTGGATGTATCTAACAAATCCCCAATAAACACTAATGCTGTTGGTCAAGGGGATACTGATCTGAGAATCACTGTCTTAGCACTCTGTGTGTGGGTGCATGCATGGATGTGCGTATGTGGCAGCAGGGATTGAGCCCCCGACCTCACATGCAGTAGGTCTGCATTCTGTCACTGAGCTCATCCCTAGTCCTTTTTATTTATTTTTGAGATGAGGTTTCACTATGCTGCCCAGGCTGGCCTCCAACTCCTGGGCATGCGTGATCCTCCTGCCTCAGTCTCCCAAGAGCTGGGATTATAGGTGTGTGTTACTGTTCTCAGCTGTAGAACTTCTTAGCAGGATTATGGCTCTCAGTAGCAGAAGGAAGAGACCCAAACTCTTTCTTCTCTTTCCTCTGGGCTGAGGTGGAAACTAACAAAAAATGGCCACAGGGCTAACGGTCCTGGGTGGGAGACACCAAAGTGGTCAATGCTTTAAGATCACTGGACCAGGAGCCAGGAGACTTGAGTTGTTTGCCTGCCCTTGAGTGAACTCACGGTGTGCTCTGTTTGTTTCTCTGTAGAATGACCAGGTGGCACTTTTTCTCTAGTTGTTATTGCTTTCTAAAAAAAAGAAGAAAAAAAGAAAAGAAAAACAAAGAGAAGTAGGCGATCTGAAAGGGGCTGGGGTAAGAGAATCTGGTGGGTGTCTATGGGTCTGGAGCTGATGTGGGTTTGCAAATGGCCCTGATGTTCACTGGCTTTGACTGCTGGGGCCAAGTGCCAGCCTGGCAGAGCCTTGGCCTCCCTGTCTGCAACTAGGGGTCAGGATGCCAACCCTGTGCAGCTGTGGAGGGAATTGGGCAGTACCTGGCCAAGCAGTGTCAGTCGTGGTGGGTGTTTCCAGTTCGATGTCTTTTCAAGGCTTTGGGGGACAGGAAGGCAACTCTTCTTCCCATCCCTGTCCCTCTACGGAGCCTGGTGACCTTCACGCTGCTTGTGGACTCAGACCTCCCAAGTACGTCTCAAACTTTCCCCTGGAATGACTGTGATGGGAAATGCTTGACTCCCCCAATTTTCCAGCTCCTACTCTTCTCTAACTCCCATTCATCTGATTATTCATTTACTATTTATTGGGGATGTACTGTGTGCGCAACACAAGACAGGTTCTGGAAGGGGACAAGGAAAAGATCTCAGATGTGGCCCTGGTTCCCTGGAGAGCTCACAGGCTTGTGGGGAAGTAATGTTAATCTGCAAATCACATGGAATTAGGTGAAACCCAACTGTGAGAATGCTAGGAAGGCAGCGGGACATGGTTGGAGGATGTGGCCAGATTCGGGGCTAGGTCAGGCTTTAGGAAGGGTGGACCGAAAGGATGACATCTGAAGTAGCAGAAATTGACTGGGTGAGGAAGGAGGGTGGAGGTCTGAGGGCAGGGGAGCTGCCTGTGCAAAGGCCCTGAGGTAGAATGAGCATGGAGCCTGCAACGAGCTGGGCTAGAGGGCTGGGGAGGCAGAAGGGTGGGCAGCAGGGAGCTTACCTTTATCCCAAGACCAATGGAGCCTTTGGAGTTCTGACAGCAGAGAGGGCCACATCGTGTATGACTGGAGAAGTTTCCAGGGGCCAGACAGCAGGGAAGATATATATTAGGACAAAACTATGGCAGTGTGCAGAGAAAGGATGCTGGTGGCCAGGAGGGGGTGGGGGCACATTTGAGACAGAAGCGGGTAGCTGTATTTGGAAGATCCTTTGGGATTGATTCTGCAGGGCTTGGCGGTGACTGACGTGCATGTGAGAGGTGATCAGGGTGGCCCCAGCTGCTGGCTTCCTCCCTGGTGGTCTAGAAGTTGATGATGGCTTTCTTTGAGCAGGGTCCAATTCTCTTACTCCTCTCCTGAGTATTTCAGAGGCCTGCGGATCACTGCTTGCAGCAGGGCAAGGACCCTCTGTGTGTGCTTGGGACCTCTCACCTCCTCCAGTTGTGATGAATCCTGTAACATGTTTAGGACGGCAGCTGGCACTCAGCAAATGAGTGTATCTCAGCCTGGAACCGGTGAGGGAGCTGGGAAACGGACCTAGTGCTTGGTGAGTGTTGGACTTTTACAGAGGACAGAGCAGGTGTTTCAGATTTGAAGTTGGGGGTCTGGACCTACTTGAAACCAGTGGTGTGACCAGCGGTGAGCTCCTTATCCCCTCCAGACCTCAGTTTACCTAAACGTGCATGGTGGTGGAGCACTGGGTTAGAGACTGTGTCAGAGCTCCTATATCTCTAAATCGCTGGGGCTTTTATCTGTGCTCAAAGGAGCGCATGCTGGGTGCCGGGACTACCTTCCTCCTCTGAGTAAGGTCTGGGGTCTGCCCAGGTCGCAGCCCATCAGCCCATCAGCCCAGTTGCTGCAGCAATCCTGGTGCCACACACCTCCACCTTCACCTTCCTGGATTCCTCGGGTTCTAGTGACTCCAGCCCTTCCTTTCCTGCTCCTGTCCAGGATGTGCACTCCAGGCGGGCTGGATGCCCTCAGCCATAACCGTTCTTCCTCTCTCCTTGACTGTGGCAGCCTGGCTCGGTCCACATCTTCCATGGCACCTGCCTCTGGGCCCCTCTTCCTGTGAATTCCCTGGTCCTTCCTGGTAACTGGGTTCATCCACCCAGGGCCACTTCTCTGTCCCTCTCACATGGTCTTCAGGCTTTCTCTTGCACAACTGCGTCCTCTGATTGGTCACTGGCTCTACCAATCACCAACATCTTGTATCCCCCTCCCTAAACCCTTGGACTTGGAACTGAGGGTTGGAGAAGCGTTGGGAGACCACTGGCCAGAGAAACACCCAAGCTGTTCTCTCTGCACCACGTGCCAAGGCAAGACATGGGCAAACCCAGAACTTGCCTCGCTAGGAGGGTCCCCAGCTGACACGGGTGGCTTTCTTTGCTTTGGCTCTGTTCATTTCCAGGAATGGGGCTACCTGGCCATTTCCCCATGTTCTGGCCCAGACTCTGAGTTGTGCCCCTGTGTCCCCTCTTCCTAACAAAGCCTTCCTCAGTGGAAAAGAGCTTGGACACACAATACTTGCCAACAAAAGCAACCATTGTAGTCTCAGGGGAGCGGGTGGGAGCAGAGAAGCTCTGGTGGGGTTTTGCTTTCTTTTTGCCTTGGCTGGAGGTGTGCTCCAGGGACGGCCCCAGCTCACTGCTCATGAGTCAGTGCTGGGGTCCCAGCTGTGGTCCGTCCCTCTTGACTTGCCCTGTACAAGGCAGGAAGAAGGGGATGGAGGGAGGGCTGGGGCCGTGAGTTTTCTCTGGCATGGCCTCACAGAAGGGAGGTCCTTGTGCCATATGTCTTCTGTCCCACAGAGTTCCCACTCTGCAGCTGGAAAAACTAAGACCCTGTGAAAGGAAGCCAGGGTTTGCAGAGGGCCAGAGCAGAACCCTCCAGCTGGTGGTCTTTCAGCCTTTCTTTAAATGCCCCCCCAACAAAAGTCCATCTGGGTCTTGACCTTATGAGCCTTATAGGACCAGGAAGAGGAGACGAGGAACTCTATTCTTCCTGCACTTAATGTAGATCAGCGTGGTGGTGCCATTTCCAGATAACAGGATGCTCTGACGTCGCTTTTCTGCTTCACAAATGAGCAGGCCTTTCACCATTTGAAAGATGATTACACAAATCAACCTTTTTTTCACCCACCTTTGGATTGCTTGAAGTATAGGGTATTTTTTTTTTCTTTTCTTTTTGCAAATTATTATGCACACATTTACAGAATAGAGCCAGAGCATGGATTTTCTATTGGGCTACTGGCCCTGGCCACTGAACTGCTATCAGCAAGAGCATCCGTTCTCACGCTGACTGTTGATCTTCTCCACTGTGGGCCACAGTAGGGGCTACTGGTGCCCCAGGTGGAGCTGGAGGGCGCCTGTCATTATTTGCACATATTATGTGTGTCTGTAAATCTGGGGCTCCAGCCTTTCCATGCTAGCTCTACTTTTCGCCTGAGCACCTGACAGCTGGTGCAGCTGGCACACTGGGGACCAGGGAGCTGCAGTCTGCAGAATAGGTAGATCCAAGCGGCCAGAGGTTAGTGGCATATCAAGACCACAGGAGAGGAAGGGAGAGACGCCTTCTCCTGGGGGCTCACCAAGCTCCATCCTCAAACGCAGGGGGACGCCTCCTTGGTGAAGGCTCTGAACTGGTAACAGAGAGCTAACCTTCCGGCCAAGAGAGGGACAGAGCAGCCTTGGAAAGCGGATCAGGCATTTTCTCCGGAGAGGAAAGCCCAGACGTCTGAAGGGACAATTGCGTGCGTGCGCGCAAAGAGCCTCTGCTCGGCTCCGCGTGGCACTTCCGATCCTGGCTGCAGGCGCCGGTGCTTGCGGTCCCGCCCCTGCCCCAGTGTAAGGCGCCCCCAGCTCCG